CCCTTATATATTATACATGGTGATCATATCCCCCCCTTATGTATTATACATGGAGATCATATCCCCCCTTATGTATTATACATGGAGATCATATCCCCCTTATGTATTATACATGGAGATCATATCCCCCCTTATATATTATACATGGCAATCATATCCCCCCTTATGTATTATACATGGAGATCATATCCCCCCCTTATGTATTATACATGGAGATCATATCCCCCCTTATGTATTATACATGGAGATCATATCCCCCCTTATGTATTATACATGGAGATCATATCCCCCCTTATGTATTATACATGGAGATCATATCCCCCCCTTATGTATTATACATGGAGATCATATCCCCCCCTTATGTATTATACATGGAGATCATATCCCCCCTTATGTATTATACATGGAGATCATACCCCCCTTATGTATTATACATGGAGATCATATCCCCCCTTATGTATTATACATGGAGATCATACCCCCCCCCTTATGTATTATACATGGAGATCATATCCCCCCTTATGTATTATACATGGAGATCATATCCCCCTTATGTATTATACATGGAGATCATATCCCCCCTTATGTATTATACATGGAGATCATATCCCCCTTAATCTCCTCTTCTGAAGTACAACACCACATCCTGGATTGGACAGGTTAGAAAAACACATTTCTGATGGCTTGTTCTCCATTTGTGGTAAGGAGCACTGGCAACCTTCAGTCTCCAGTCTCCCAATTCAGATAAATGTGTAAGAAGAGAGTGCAGAGAGTTTAAGCCAAGGGTGCTGGGATCGTGCCAGTGCGTCCAATTGCCTCCTGTGTCCATAGGCGCCCTAACACCCATCCATCAGTATGGTCAGAGCCTAGTGCACCCTCCCAACCCATTAGTAACTCTAGTCAGCACGGTACAACAAATCCCCCCCAACAGATAACTGGAATTTGCTTCCCTCAACCCCATAACACCCCCCCCTTTTAATCCACAGAACACCTAAAAACTACTGACTACAATAAAACTAAATAAAAAAAGACACATATGTTTATTTTAGGTCCCCCCGTAACTTGGTTTTATCAGCTGTTGATTCTGCCAGTAGATCCACTAATGTTCCATTTAGTTAAAGGGTGACAATAGTGTTCATTCACAAATTCACAATGGCATTGTCACCCTGTAGATGGGCAAGTAGTTTTGGATGGACTAGTATTTGTCCACTATAGCAGTCCTTTGCCAGCAGAATCCTGCATCTTTAAAAAGACATAGATCCCCCCCCCTTCCCACAAATCACACGGCATTTATCAGCTGTTAGTGCAATTTAAGAGTGATTAGCTAAAATTTGATCTCAGTGATGAGCAGAGTGGTAGCAAATGTAAAACTCCTGCGTAGTGCCTTTTACATGTCTCTCAACACACAGCTGCACACATTAGGCAGGAAGTACCCCTACCTCTGGAAATTACATACAGAACATACCTTCAGTGTTTATAGTAGCGGAAGAGGGATGGGAGCAGCCAGTGTAGACACAGAAGAGAAATGGAATAGCTAAAATGGGTAGTGTAGAGTAATGAGCAGTCAGGTGAAGAAGCAAAATGGAAGATTTCTTATGAGTAGGAGAAGGATGGAGCAGTCAGATGGAGATGAAGAATGGAAAAGGTTTTTTGGGTGGGAGGAATGGGATGGAGCAGTGAGGTAGAGAAAAAGAATGTAACAGTTCTTATGGATAAGGGGAGATGGTTGGAGCAGTGAGGTGGAGAAGAGGAATGGAAGAATTCTTATGGGTATTGGGAGATGGTTGGAGCAGTGAGGTGGAGAAGAGGAATGGAAGAATTCTTATGGGTATTGGGAGATGGAGATGGTTGGAGAAGAGGAATGGAAGAATTCTTATGGGTATTGGGAGATGAGCAGTGAGGTGGAGAAGAGGAATGGAAGAATTCTTATGGGTATTGGGAGATGGTTGGGAGCAGTGAGGTGAGGTGGAGAAGAGGAATGGAAGAATTCTTATGGGTATTGGGAGATGGTTGGAGCAGTGAGGTGGAGAAGAGGAATGGAAGAATTCTTATGGGTATTGGGAGATGGTTGGAGCAGTGAGGTGGAGAAGAGGAATGGAAGAATTCTTATGGGTATTGGGAGATGGTTGGATCAGTGAGGTGGAGAAAAAGAATGGAAGAGTTCTTATGGGTATATGGAGATGGACAGAACAGTCAGGTAGAGAAGAGGAATGGAAGATCCCTTATGAGTAGTAGAAGAAGGATGGAGCAGTCAGATGGAGAAGAGGAATTGAATAGTTTTTTGAGTAGGTGGAAAGGAACAGAGCAATCAAGTGGAGACGAAGAATGGAAGGGTTCTTATGGGTATGGGGAGATGGTAAGAGCAGTGAGGTGGAGAAAAGAATGGAAGAGTTCTCATTGGTATAAGGAGATAGTTGGAGTGGTCATGTAGAAAAGGGAATGGAAGAGTTCTTATGGGTATATGGAGATGGACAGAACAGTCAGGTGGAGAAGAGGAATGGAAGATCCCTTATGAGTAGTAGAAGAAGATGGAGCAGTCAGATGGAGAAAAGGAATTGAAGAGGTTTTTTGAGTAGGTGGAAAGGAATGGAGCAATCAGGTGGAGAAGAAGAATGGAAGGGTTCCTATGGGTATGGGGAGATGGTTGGAGCATTGCGATGGAGAAGTGGAATGGAAGAGTTCTTATGGGTGTTTGGAAATGGATGGAACAGTAAAGTGGAGAAAAGGAAAGGATAAGTTCTTATGGGTTGGAGGTGAGAGATGGTACAGTCAGGTGAAGAACAGGAGTGCAAGAGTGATCATGGGTAGGTTAGAGGCATGGAGCAGTCAGGTGGAAAAAGGAATTGAAGATTTATTTTGGGTAGAAGGAGAGGGGAAGAGCAGTCAGGTGGAGAAAATGAAGAGTTCTTTTGGATAGGACAAGAGGGATAAGTAGGATAGGGATTGAGCTGACAGGTGGAAGAGTTCTAATGGGTATGGGGAGATAATTGGAGAAGTGAGGTGGAGAAGAGGAATGGAAGAGTTCTTATGGGTATATGGAGATAGTTGGAACAGTCGAGTGAAGAAGAGGAATAGATATGTTCTTATGGGTTGGAGGTGAGGAATGGTGCAATTAAGTGGAGAAGAGGAGATCCAGAGTTCTTATGGGTAGGGTAGAGGCATGGATCAGTCAGGTGGATTAGTCAGGTGGAAAAAAGGATTTAAAGATTTCTCCTGAGTTGAAGGAGAGGGAAGGAGCAGTCAGGTGAAGAGGATTGAATGGAAGATTTCTTTTGGCTAGGATTAAAGGGATGAAGCAGTCAGGTGGAAAAGAGGAATGGAATATATATTATATACGTAGGATAGGAATTGAGCTGACAGGTGCAGCCTGTCCTGTCTATCTCTCTCCCCGTGTTTAGGAACTCTTCCATTTTCCACCTTCATCTGACTTCTGCATCTCTCTATTGGAATGGAAGTTCTTATCGGTAGGAGAAGAGGGTATGGGTAGGATGGAGCAGTCAGGTGCAGATGAATGAAAGAAATCATTTTGGCAGGAGTAGAACAATAGCAGGAATGCAAGAGTTATTTTGGATCGGACGAGAAGGATAAAGCAGTCAGGTGGACAAGAGGAATGGAACAGATCCTATATGTAGGATAGGGAGTGAGCTGACGTGTGGAGAAGAGGAATGGAATTGTTCTTATGGGTATGGGGAGATTGTTGGAGCAGCGAGGTGGAGAAGGGGATTGGAAGATTCTTATGGGTGTATGGAGAAGGACAGAACAGTCAGGTGGAGAAGGAGAATGAGTAATTTATTATAGATTGGAGATAATGGATGGTACAATCAGATGCAGAAGAGGAGTGCAAAAGCTCTTATGGGTAGGGTAGAGGCATGGAGTAGTCAGGTGGAAAAAAAGGAATTGAAGTTTTCTCCTTGGTAGAAGTAGAGGGAAGGAGCAGTCAGGGGAGAAGATGAATGGAAGAAATCTCTTTGGTAGGAAGAGAATGGTAAAGTAGTCAGGTGAAGAAGAGGAACGCAACGGTTCTTTTGGATAGGATGAGAGGGATGAAGCAGTCAGGTGGAGAAGAGGAATAGAAGAGATCTTATATGTAGGATAGGGATAAAGCTGACAGGTGGAGAAGAGGAATAGAAGAGATCTTATATATAGGATAGGGATGGAGCTGACAGGTGGAGAAGGGGAACAAAAGAGATCATATATGTAGGATAGGTATGGAGCTGACGGGTGGAAAAGGAAAATGGAAGAGTTCTTATGGATAGAGGGTGAAGCATTGAGCAGTGAGGTTGAGACTTCTTCATTTGACTCTTCATAGGAAATCTTTTATTCACCTGACTGCTCTGTCTCTCTCCATTTATCTTTAGGAATTCTTACATTCTTCATCTCCATCTGACTTCTCCATCTCTGTTAAAATGGAAGTTCTTATGGATAGGAGGAGAGGGATGACGTGATCAGGTGGAGGAGGAGCATAGAAGAGTTCTTAGGGGTAGGAGAAAGTGATAGAACAGTCAGTTGGAGGAGGGTTCTTATGGATAGGAGGAGAGGGATGATGATCAGGTGGACCATAGAAGAGTTCTTAGGGGTAGGAGAAAGTGATAGAACATCAGAAGAGGGTTCTTATGGGTAGGAGGAGAAAGTGACGTGATCAGGTGGAGGAGGAGCATAGAAGAGTCTTATGGGTAGGTGGAGGAGAACAGGGAGGAGGGTTCTTATGGGTAGGAGGAGAGGGATGATGTGATCAGGTGGAGGAGGAGAGCATTTTTTAGGGGTAAGAAAGTGATAGAAATCAGTAGGAGGGTTCTTATAGAGGTCCTGGTTTTAGAGGTCCTGGTAGAGGTCGGACAATAATTCTAGGAGGTAGACATGGGAATGTCTCAAGTGCAGAAGACTTTTTTCTATATTTGATGTTTTGTATTTCACAGGTAGTAGGTAATTGTGAGTTTTGTTTTTAATCTGTGTGCCAATAATTGTTGCTTCAATTGTTGCTGTCCTTTTGCTGTACATGGCTCTTGTAGCAGTAGGTTACATATCCAGGCGGACAATGCTTCATCAATTACATGGAGTCAGTGTATTCTCAAATGACGAGTACCACTATTCTTCTTCTAACTCGTGGCCAGAGAAAGGTAAGACCACAAGTAGTAGTATGTCCCTTGCTCTGTACTAGTATTGTGTCTTTCCTTCCAGCACGTGGTACAAAGTAGTTGTGTCTAGAAGATGTAGTATTTAGTTTTTTCCCTGTAGACCTCCTTGACTTGCTCTGTTGTATTTTCATTTTTTCCTATTGGTCTCACCTAACGTGACATTATTCCTTCTTCCTGGTGATGTTACACATAACCTTAGCTGGGTAACTCCCCAGGATTCTGCAATTTGAAGATGACTTGATGATATGTGGTTAAGAAAGACAAAAAGGCTTTTAAATGAGTTATTTGGGTATTGGTAACAATTGCACCGAAGTCTGAATTCACTCACAGTTACACTATATGGCAAAACAATTTTGGACACCTGATCATCATTCCTGTATGAGATTGTTGGACATCCCATTCCAATACTACGGCCATTATTGTGAAGTTGCCCACTAGAGTTTTACATCTTTAACAGCCTACACTCTTCTGGGAAGTCTTTCCAAAATATTTTGAAGTGTGTCTGTGGAAATTTTATACCCATTCACCCAAAAGAGCAGTTATCAGGTCAGGTACTGATGTTGGATAAGAAGACCTTGTTCACAATTATTGGCTTTCCAGTTCATCCCAAAGGTGTTCATTTAGGTTGAAGCCAGGGCTTTGTGAGGACCACTGGAGTTCCTTCACAGCAAACTGGTCAAACTATGTCATTATGGAGCTGGTTTTCTGTACAGGGGTATGATCATGCTGGAAAAGAAAAGGGCCTTCACCAAACTGTTGCCACAAGGCTGGCTGAATAGTACATGTTGGGTTCAGGTTTCCACAAACTTTTGGCCATAGAGTGTTTAAGGATGTTAGGTGGAAGATGAATGTACTATTGAACTAAGTCCTAATTGTAAATCATCATCTTTGGTAAATAACAAATCTATGCCAGACGAGGGTGCGTGTCCCTACACACCATCTGGCCAATCGATAAATCTAAAATATAACCTTTATTGAGATATCTATAAAATGTATGCTCAGCTGTAATGAATGTCTATTGGGGTGGACTGTACGGCACACAACAATACGACTGGATACAATTACAATTGTTTACCTTCCATCCAAATGGTTAATAACACCAGACCAGATCAAATACTATACCGTTTTAGATGAAGTGACGGCATAAAAAAAAAAGACACTATAGTTTGATCATAAGCCTATCAGCTTGAATATACAATCTCTGTTAACCACTTCAAGTCCGGACACTTTCATCCCCTTCCTGTCCAGACACTTTCATCCCCTTCCTGTCCGGACACTTTCATCCCCTTCCTGTCCGGACACTTTCATCCCCTTCCTGTCCAGACATTTTCATCCCCTTCCAGTCCAGACACTTTCATCCCCTTCCTGTCCAGACACTTTCCCCCTCCTCAAGTCCGGACACTTTCATCCCCTTCCTGTCCAGACACTTTCATCCCCTTCCTGTCCAGACACTTTCATCCCCTTCCAGTCCGGACACTTTCATCCCCTTCCTGTCCGGACACTTTCATCCCCTTCCTGTCCGGACACTTTCACCCCCTTCCAGTCCGGACACTTTCACTCCCTTCCAGTCCGGACACTTTCACTCCCTTCCAGTCCGGACACTTTCACTCCCTTCCAGTCCGGACACTTTCACCCCTTCCAGTCCAGACACTTTCCCCCCCCCTCCAGTCCGGACACTTTCATCCCCTTCCTGTCCAGACATTTTCATCCCCTTCCAGTCCGGACACTTTCATTCCCTTCCAGTCCGGACACTTTCATCCCCTTCCTGTCCGGACACTTTCATTCCCTTCCTGTCCAGACACTTTCATCCCCTTCCAGTCCGGACACTTTCACCCCCTTCCAGTCCGGACACTTTCACCCCCTTCCTGTCCGGACACTTTCACCCCCTTTCAGTCCGGACACTTCCCCCCCTTTCCAGTCCAGGCCAATTTTCAGCTTTCAGCACTATCACACTTTGAATGACAATTGCGCGGTCATGCAACACTGTACCCATATGAATTTTTTAGCATTTTTTTGAGACAGATAAAGCTTTATTTTGGTGGTATTTATTCACCACTGGGATTTTTTTTTTTTTTGCTATGTACAGTAAATGAAAAAGTCCAAAGATTTTGAAAAAGGTGTTTTTCTTATAACATTTTGCAAATAAATAATCTTTCATCATAAGTCTTGGCCAAAATTTATGCCATTATCTATTTATTAAAAAAAAAAAAAACCCAAATTAGTTTATAACCAAAAATTATCATTTTTAAACATTTTATTTTATTTTTTTTATATTATTATTTATGTTTTTCTTGTTTGTTTTTTTTACATACTGTCACCCTAGCAGTACAGTGTCACCATTGTGACACTGTACTACTTGGGGGGGGGGGGGGGGGTGATGAAGATTTTTCTTTACACTGATTGCTTTTCCACCCCATAAAGGCTGTAAAAGCAATAATTTCTCCTTCTCTCTGGCTGCATTCTTGCAATCATTGAGAACTACTGCGTAAGCTGTGATTGGTCACATGGCACAAGGCTGTTGTGAATAGCCTTGTACCATGTGACCTCTGTGATCATTCACAGATTTCACACGTAGTAAGCAATGATGTCACAAGTGACATCTTGCTTACTACTCTGCATGTGATCACTGATTGGCCAATCGGTGATCACATGATCGGGACCTCGCAGAGAGGTCCCGTACGACGATCGGTGTTCCACTGTGTCCGGAGGACACAGCGGGCACCAGATTGCGGTGTTGCACGCTCCCAGGGAGTGCGCACAAGCAGGGGGCGGGGAGGCCCTTTATAAACGGCCACCTGACCCTGCACTGCTCCTGTCCGGCCATTTATATTCAACGGCCGGACGGGAGGTGGTTAAGGAAATTAAGTTACCCCATGGACAAAACTAATTAGATAGTATAAATTGTCTTGCTACAGATATGTAATACGGGTACACTCATCCATGGGCCTTAATGTCAGCCTCTAATGGACAAACCCCATACATCACCATATCCAGTCAAAAATACCTCACTGTCTTGAGAGCCAAAGAAAAGAAAAAAAAGAAACTCTACCTGTTTCGCCCCAAACAAACGGTATGGTATGGTATGGTATGGTATTTGGTCTGGTCTGGTGGTATTAACCATTTGGATTGAAGGTAAACAATTGTAATGGTATCCAGTCATATTGTTGTGCGCCGTACATTCCACTCCAATAGGCATTGATTACGGCTGAGCATACATTTTATATATATATCTGAATAAAGGTTATATTTTCAATTTATCAATTGGCCAGATAGTGTCTTTGTTTATGCTGTCACTTCATCTAAAACGGTATGGTATTTGATCTGGTCTGGTGTTATTAACCAGTTGCCGCCCGGCCTGTGGCCAAATGGCGGCCGGGCGAACACTTCGTCCCTCCGGGAGGACGCCATATGAAAGATGAATGTAGCAGTTAATCTCTTCATTCACTTTTGTATGGCGTAGGCCTTGGAATTTTTTTTTAAGCAGGCAAGCCCAATGGAATAGGATTTGTTGTACTGCCTTCTACAGGCAGACTTCAGACAAAGCAAATCATGAACAATATCAACATTTAAGTAATCTTTTAAGAATCGTATATATTATAGTGATGAACATGTCAGGTGCTAGTGGGAATCCTATTACAGACAGAGCAACATGAGTGGAGGGTAGTTGGCTGAGACACCTTCTGACTTCTTTTTTTACTTGGGGACACCAGCAGTGACACCTCCCTGCTTTAGCTCCTGATGGTTTTCCTCCCCACCTTGGAGCTCTGGGTGTTTCTGCTAATCAGGGAGGTATTACTTTTTCTATTGCTTGATTCATGAATAGAAAATCCTGAATTAGGGGCAGACTGACAACTCATGGGGTCCCCGGGCAATAGGGTATCATGGGGCCCCTGTGTCCTTGCCCAAACTCAAAAAAGCCTATGAAAAAGGTACCAGGGGCATCTCATGGGGCCCCCTACTGACCCCAGGCCCTCGGGCACTGAATACCCGTGTACTAAAGTATCACGTACCTGGTGTTAGAGGCCAATGGAGAGAGGGCTTCCCTTTCGGCTAAGTTCCAGACTCCCTTGAGAGTGGGACAGCAGGAGTGAGGCCCAAAGTGGCACAGGTCGCCTGTAGGAGTGCTCGTTGGTGGTCCACCCAGGAGCAAAGCTGATGTACTGAGATGGGGTCTGCAGACGGGTGGTGCTTGTACGAGGTATGCAAGCCTTCCGGGAAACCGAGGATCACAGGATAGCCGGTTCAAAGCCGAGGTCAGGTACCAGGTGGGGATCAGAGCAGACATAGTCAGATGGGATAGCCGAGGTCATACACAGAGGAGCGCGAGAGAGTATCTGTAAGCCAAGCTGAGGTCAGATCAGGGGTTAAGCAGAGAAGACAGGTCCAAGAGCAAGCCGAGTCAGTATCAGGAAATCACAGATCACAGTAGCACAGGAACAAGGTACTGGGAAGCCAGAGATCAACCAGCACCTGAGAGTAGGGCAGGGCTTCCTTATAAAGGCCGTTTGGCACCAAATTTGAACAGGTGTGAACTTCTGCGGCCATGCAAGGTATTGGCAGGGGTGCCAGGTCTCCTAACACCTCTGCCGAGGACAGAGCCCTGACATGAAGGGTGTAGTTGAGCTGTCCAGGCCTCATTTACACTAGATCCCTCCAAAGATAGAGTACAATGAGTTAAAAACTGTTTTAGTAGCAGGATCCCCAGGTGAAAATAAAAGAAATAAAACATTAAAGGCTTGTTCACTCAAGCTTTGCTCTCGTAATCTGCATTCAGATCACACTTTGGGGAGCATTTGACAGGGAATTAGGAGGCGTTGTATCCCGTCCTCGCCACCTGTTATAACCCCTAAATGCTGGACTACCACCCTGCAATCTTGTACACGAGCTGGAGAAGTACTGAGTGTCCCCCGTGATACATGGAGCAATCTATTCTCAAATGTTATTTGTAAGGATGTTAGTAGTCACCGGTGAGTTTGGAGACCTTTGTAAGGCCACAGACCAAATGTAGTGTGAAGGTCTGTCCACTCCATGGCGCTACTTTCTGTTCTTTAGAATAAAAGGACACACAACAAAATATTCCGTTTTGTGGGTCTTGTTTGTTGTTAACCTGCGTATCACTGTATGTCTGTCTTTATACTTTTTTGGAATAAAATCCCAGTAAGACATGAATAGTAAAAATATTACCCATGTTAAACTTTTGAAAGAGTTGCCCAACAGCAGGCGCTACAAGGTGTCTTCGCCCCCCTTCCCACTGGATCGTGGTTTCACTTTGTTACTTAGAGTTCAAACTCTCTCAGTTTGAAACCAAAGCAATACCTGTAATCAGGATATGGACAATAAAGCTTTCTATGTTCTTACCAAGTAGTAAAAGAGCTTTAAAAAAATCCCTCATTCACCTCTGTGGCTGCTGTCACTGAGGAGCAATTCATTCTCAGCGCTCAGTTACATTATGTATTGCATTAAAGCATGATGCGTTAGGCATTAAAGTGGTTGTAAACCCTTACACATACCCAGTGAATTGACTGGCCTCAGGTGGTACGCAGAGATTAAACATAACATCCTACATAGGTTGTACCTGTTTATCTACACCCTTCTGTCCCCTACATCCATTCAAAGTGCAGAATGTACACAGGATCTCTCAGCTTGAAAAGCAGGGAGCAGGAAGTTGAAGTTACATCAGTGAGAGTTCTGAGAGCTGATTGGAGGGAAGGGACCCCCCCCAAGAGCTGAAATTGTCAATCACAGGCTGTGCCCCCCTCATCACAATTTTTCTCTTGATGTCAGGAAAACTTGTCAGAAGAGACTCATGCTGATAGTGGAGGAACAAGGCAGTGGACAGAAATGACACTTAGTGCTCTTAATTGAGACAAGTACACATTATAAGCCCTAGCAGTACACATTAATTAATTAATTAAAAAAAAAAACCCTCAGTATTTTTGGCAACAGAGCACACCACAACACACACACTATGTTGTGTATTGTAGGCGCCTTAGCAGCTACTCCACAACTCCACTCCATGAATGGCTCTGCAGTGCAACACACATTGCAGTTACTGCAACGCATCGCTGACACAGAGGATCATGTGACTGGAGCGGACTGAAAATACATAATAGGGATCATAGGGAGTAGGAGGGGGAGGGAACATTTTTAGGACTAGTTAGTGTTCGGCTGGAATTCTACTTTAAAGTTCACAACAGAGGCACTGACGTTGCAGCTTTCTCCTTCCTTGCTTCTTCTGGCATCAGGGATGTGTCAGTGTTTTAGCCTTCTAATGTAAGCACACAGAGGGTGCCGGAAACCTTTCAGAAACTGAGTTAGGGCTCGTTCACACTCGGCTGTTTTACCAACGCTTGCCAAACTCCCCTATAGCGTTTGGCAAGCGTTGGTCCGGCGTTTGCCGAATGTTTTTTAACGCTCGGCAAACGCCGCATGTGCGGTTTAGCAGCGGTTGCTAGGCATTTGCTGAGCATTAAAAATGCCCCACAAATGCCTATAATGCAGTTTGAATGGTGTTACCGCTCTGCAAACCCCCCGCAACCGAGTCGCAAACCGCACCGCAAATGCGGAGCGGCACCATAGACTAGAATAGGAGGCTTCAACGCCTCCTGACTCGACCAGAGGCGTCCGTTTTGCCGCGACGCAAACGCTCCCGTTAGAACAGCACTGTAACGGAACCGGTACCCGACCGCACTTGGGTATATTCCGTTATACCGCAGCTTCCCCTATCCGAACACCATCCACGGACCACACCCTTGAAATCCCTCAGGAAACAGACAGCACCCAGCTCTTCTTAATACAGGAAGCCAACTCTTTTTATTTTAACACAAAACACAGGATATATACAGAGGGCGGGGAAACACAAACAGGAACAGGAAATACATCATCACCCCTCCCCATCCCACCAAGACACAGAACAATGGGATGAAACACATGGCAAAGGACATTGACCAACCCCCACACCAATACACAACCAGTACATCCCATAATAGTTGGCTGGACAGGAAGACACAGCACAATGGGGGGTAGCACATGGCAAACAGACAATGGACAACCATGTGACTGAGAACAAAGGAACACACACTATACACAAGACTCAGACATTCACATACACACCCTGTACCCCTTAACAGGCACAGGGTGCCTTAAACATAATGGGAATTTGGGAAGACGATACAGAGGTCCCCCCACCCCCAAAAGTCACTCCCGTCACAAGCACCATGTGCTGTAATGTGCAGAATTGGCAGAGGCGTAAAAACGCTTCCCAAACGCCTCTCTGCCGCCTGCACACAACGCTAGTGTGAACGTAGCCGTTCTGTTGTGATCTCTGAGGATAAATTTCTGCACAGTGGCTGCAGCTACAGAGGTAACTGTTACTGCTTGTTAAGAATATGTAAATGCTTTAAATGGCCACCAGTTCACCTTAAGCCTCATCCTCTTTACTGGCCACTGAGACTCGCTTATTAGACAGCGATGGACAGCGGTTTCTAGTTATGAGGGTTGAGGCTTGACATTGAAAGCGGAAAAAGTCAACTCTTAAAGATAAAGTGGGAGATGAACAGATATGCCCAGGTGAATCACCTTGTCAAATCAGGCTTCTTGTAGCCACTTTCAGAAAGCCATCATCCGGAACATACAACACTTTGATGCCTGGACATTTTCTAAACACACAGAAAGTGCCGTAGGTTTCTGGGATGGGTTAGGTTTGTTGGTGATACCGGTGCTCCTACGTGTTCCCCAGCTAACAATCCTCTGTTGACCTTCATTTTGCAGAAAGTCGGGACAGCTCCTTCAGTCGATCGCGCAGCTCCAGCGTGTCAAGCATTGATAAGGAGACCAAAGAGGCCATCACAGCCTTGTACTTCATGGAGTCCTTCTCCCGGAAGAATGATCCGTCACCCTCGCCGTGCCTCTGGGTGGGGACCAGTTTGGGAATGGTGCTGATCATATCGCTGAACATTCCCGCAAGTGAGGAGCAGAGACAGGCGGAGCCAGTGGTGGTCACTCCAAGTGGTAAGTGGTCGGTCTGTGCTACCTGACACACCAGGCGGTGGCGTGAGTTGGTGGAATTTAATGGCCCCAACAAATGTGATTGTTGCAACTGAGGTAAACATACTTTGACCAAATCTTAGCACAGGTCAGGCACTTCAGTAGGCAGCTCTGCAGTTACATTGTTACCTGGTTTTAACCTCTAGAAAAAAAAAAGAAAGGAACTCCAGAAGTTATTTGTATAAATATAAGCTTTGAATAAATGTAAGTATGCACACCTAATGGGCCGCTGGGAGGCTGGAGATCACTGTAGAAGTTAACGCTGGATCTGTGAACTCTTACAGTGATTGTAAAGTAAGCTCTCAGGCACAGCGCTGGATCGAGATCAGGCTCAGGTAAGTATTTAGTGGGGATTGGGGAGCAAAAGTGATTATAAAGTTAACTTTTTTTTTTAACAACTAACATGTTATACTTACCAGTATAGGTTTGCACAAAGCGACCCTGAATCTTCTCTTCTGGGGTCTCCCACCAGCACTCTTCACTCCTCCTCCACTGTGTCTGCCCCTCTTGCAAGCTGCATGCCTGGAGGGCAGATGTGCAGGCTCAATCCTGAGCTGCGCTGTGAGAGTCTATTGACACACAGAGTGGCTCGGCCCCTCCCCCCTACTCCCTACCCACATAATTTGATTGGCACCAGCAGGAACCAATGGCTCCCACTGCTGCCTTCATGTCCAGTGAGGCGAAAGAGAGTAGTGCAGCTGCTCTCAGGCACAGCGCTGGATCGAGATCAGGCTCAGGTAAGTATTTAGTGGGGATTGGGGAGCAAAAGTGATTATAAAGTTAACTTTTTTTTTTAACAACTAACATGTTATACTTACCAGTATAGTTTTACACAAAGCTGTCCTGAATCTTCTCTTTTGGGGTCTCCCACCAGCACTCTTCACTCCTCCTCCACTGTGTCTGCCCCTCTTGCAAGCCACTTGCCTGGAGGGCAGATGTGCAGGCTCAATCCTGAGCTGCGCTGTGTGAGTCTATTGACACACAGAATGGCTCGGCCCCTCCCCCCTACTCCCTACCCACATAATTTGATTGACACCAGCAGCAACCAATGGCTCTCACTGCTGCCTCCATGTCCTGTGAGGCGAAAAAGAGTAGCGCAGCTGTTCTCAGGTACAGCGCTGGATCGAGATCAGGCTCAGGTAAGTATTTAATGGGGGTTAGGAGGCACATGTTAAAAGAGCAATACGGTCAAAGCTTTTTTGGCCTTGCTTTTCTTGTGGGTCACGGGTGTACTACAATTTTTTTTGTCCTCCTGTGACCAAGAGTCAGGTTACTGATCGGTATCAGCTGACGAGGCAGAGCTCTAGAAGGATCCCAACAGTATTGTTGGGACCCACGTAGCTACCCAGCCTGGCGCACCGTTGAGCTCAGGAGTGGCAGAGCAGAGAGTGGTGACTGACAGTTACTGCTCTCCGCTCGCATCTCATGTATACACATATGCCAGTACTTGTGCTAACGCATGAACAGGGTCCAGAAGTTCAATATAATTCCAGCCTCGAAACTGTTTATCTTCAATAGCACCACAACCTTGCTGCTCTCACAAACAGCACTGGAAATGGCAAACACACAAACAAGAGAGAAGAGCGCAGAGGTTCTGGTGCAATACCCTTTATTTTATGAATACAAAAAAAATATATCAGAGCTTATCAATCACATCTCCCCACCACCGCACCAAAATCCTTTCGCCACCCTTGATAGGAGCTCCAGCTGACAGTGTGGATATGGCAGCAGCACCGGACCGAAAGCACTCGCCGCTGTGCTTGAGATCCCGAGATCGTTTTTTTTTTTTAGCTTTCACCATAAAATCACCTTGAAATGTATTGAAGACGTATAGAAGGCAAACAGCTGAGGATGAAGCTTAGATCTCAAATGAATCACATAAACAGGATATGAATCCCTTTCAATACCCGCAGTTCTAATGAATTCCAATCTGGGCTTGTCACCAACAGGCGTTAGAACCTGTAATATACTCGGTCCACGCTAAGGACTCCATTTTCACAAGTGTCATTTGTAACCCAGAGAATGCAAATGCTGAAGTGGATCAATATCTCCTAGAAATGTCTCATCTGCCTTTGTGAAGGTCCTTGCAATCTCCGGACAGCTATAATATATAGCCCCCTGGCACTCGTATTCTCATCATAATTAGTCGATATAAAGTATCCCAGTTTTTTATTTATTTATTACAGGTACTTATATAGCGCCGTCACAGCACTTTATATATATATATATATATATATATATATATATATATATATATATATATATATATACAGTCAGGTCCATAAATATTGGGACATCGGCACAATTCTACCATTTTTGGCTCTATACACCACCACAATGGATTTGAAATGAAACGAACAAGATGTGCTTTAACTGCAGACTGTCAGTTTTAATTTGAGGGTATTTACATCCAAATCAGCAAATTTGCAACCAAGTATTAAAAAGTGTAAGTTTGATTTATGATTATTATTCTGTCCCGTTACTTTTGGTCCCTTAACAAGTGGGAGGCACATATGCAAACTGTTGTAGTTCCTACACCGTTCACCTGATTTGGATGTAAATACCCTCAAATTAAAGCTGACAGTCTGCAGTTAAAGCACATCTTGTTCGTTTCATTTCAAATCCATTGTGGTGGTGTATAGAGCCAAAAATGGTAGAATTGTGTCCATGTCCCAATATTTATTATTATTATTATTATACAGTATTTATAAAGCACCAATAGTTGGCTCAGCGCTGTACATTACAAAGGGGGACAGAACATGTGACAGAACAATAACAATACAATGCAAAACATGAGGGGATCGAGGGCCCTGCTCCTTGGAGCTTACAATCTAGGAGGGAGGGGATGGTGGCACAGGAGGAGATAGCTGTGGGGGATGGGGGATGGGGTGGTAGGAAGAGTGGAGGAGGTTGGTCAAGTTAGCAGAGGGTGGGGTAAGATTCCCTGAAGAGATGGGTTTTCAGGGTGCGCCTAAAGGAGAGGAGAGTAGGTGATAGTCTGATGGGTTGGGGCAGGGAGTTCCAGAGGATGGGTGACACCCTGGATAAGTCCTGGAGGCGGGCATGGGAGGAGGAGACCAGGGAACTAGAGAGAAGGAGGTCTTGTGAGGAGCGGAGTGTGCGTGTTGGGTGGTACTTGGATATTAGGTCGGTGATGTAGTACGGGGGGCAGTATGGTGGACAGCTTTGTACGTCAGCGTTAGGATTTTGAATCTGATCCATTGCGCAATCGGAAGCCAGTGGAGGGATTGGCAGAGGGGGGTGGAGGACACTGAGTGGAGGCCAGTGGAGGGATTTGCAGAGGGGGGTGGAGGACACTGAGTGGAGGCCAGTGGAGGGATTGGCAGAGGGGGGTGGAGGACACTGAGTGGAGGCCAGTGGAGGGGGATTGGCAGAGAGGGGTGGAGGACACTGAGTGGAGGCCAGTGGAGGGATTGGCAGAGGGGGGTGGAGGACACTGAGTGGAGGCCAGTGGAGGGATTGGCAGAGGGGGGGGGTGGCGGAGAACCTAACTGTATATATTGTATATTTACATCAGTCCCTAACCCTCAAGGAGTGTACAATATAAGGTCCCTAACTCACATTCATACTTACACATACTAGGGACAATATAGACAGGAGCCAATTATCCTACCAGCATTAGTAATCATAAATCCCCAGCGCCAGAGAAATATATATCCCCAATAGATAAATTAAATGCTGCTGTACACAAATGCAATAAACTCCAAAGAACATAAAATCAACATAAACAGCGCAAATAATCAAACCCCAAAAAAAGTTATAATTAAAATAAAAATTAAAAATTAAAATTAAACCATATATTCCCTCAAAAAATTGTGAAATTTAGAAAGTGTCAGAAAAATCTGAAATAAAACAAACAAAAAAGACAAAAAAAAAAAAAGTCCTTGATCCAAAAGAGAGTGTGCTTCCACCATGAACCAGTGCTCCAACCAACATATACCGCACTCACCAGATTCTGGTGAAATAAACGCCTTTTAGGTATTTTAGGGATCCTAGACCCTTCTTTACCGCCTCCAGAACTCCACTCCACCAGGTCTCGTGGAAGCACACTTTCTTTTGGAACAAGGATTTTTTTTTTTTTTTTTATCTTTTAGTTTTTTTCTGATTTTTCTGACACTTTCTAAATTTCACAATTTTTTGAGTGGGAATATATGGTTTAATTTTTAATTTAATTTTTAATTATTAATTTTTTGAGGGTTTGACTATTTGCGCTGTCTGTGTTGATTTTATGTTCTTTGGAGTTTATTGCACTTGTGTACAGCAGCATTTCATTTATCTGTCTATTGATTTTATATCCTACCAGCATGTCTTTAGAGGGTGGGAGGAAACCGGAGTACCCAGAGGAAACCCATGCAGGCACAGGGAGAACATGTAAACTCCAGGCAGGTGGTGCCGTGGTTGGGATTCGAGTACTGCCAGGCGGAAATGCTAACCATTTAGATTCTGTGCTATCTGGGACAGTAAAGGTGCTTCCAGAAGGATCCAATTACTAGAGTCAGTTCAGATTCATACAGGGCTCAGCATACAAATGTGAATCCATGATGCATGAGGTGGGTGCCGTTCTTTAACAGTCAATTACCTGAACCACGGACATGGTGGATGTTAGTTGTAGCTTGTTAATGAGCTTTTTTTTCACTCCCAATCTGATAACCTGCTCTTACGCCAGTTCAGGAATGACCGTGACTTGAGGATGTCAATGCCCAACATCAAATAATGCCCGCAGATATATCATGTGTGTCCCTCGCAAACAGAGATATATATCTCAGCGGGAAATATCTTTGTATTCATAGTTATAGGAACAATGGCCACGGCCATATACAAAAATCAATGGAGTCTCCTATCCCAATCTCTCAAGAGATCTTTCTGCTCATCCTGCTGAATTTTTATTAACCACCTGTACCTCCAGTCCGGGCCTTTTCTGGCACTTTGTGTTACATAGTTAG